CATTGTCTATGATTCAGCCCAAGTTTAGGTTCGAATGTATTGTGACGTTATATATAGGCATTGCGTCTGGGTGAATGGTTCTGTTGCCTAGGTGGTTAGGTCGCATTCTGCATTTAAATGGTCGATCTGAAATAACTTACGTCGCGGCACTGCTGCACCTCAACACGGCAACTTCTGACACCCTATCAATAAGGGGCTCCAGGCGGCTAACCCCAATTTAAGAGGACCCAAAGTGGAAATCCAGGTGGCGCAACGGACAGCAGCTCAATTTGCATGCCAAAACGCGGCTCCACGGAGAATCGTTCAGACAGAGAGTATCTAAGCAGCGGCATGACACCGCAGGAGATCTCCCCTTGTTACTACAAACCCAAATCATGTCATCATGTTTCAGCCCAAGTCGAAAGAGGCCATACGAAACAAAAGCCCAAGCCAGCCAAGCAAATCAGTCGCGGCGCCTGCGCGTGAAGGAGCTTCAAGGCAGCGCGCACTTCCTGCGCGAAGGTTTCAAATGCATCCACAGCCGCACTGAACTCAATGAAGACAGGAACTATCGTCCGGCCAAAAGCTGGGCGCCATTTTTTGGACAACGTTTCGGTAACACGTGCCACCTGAAGCAGTTTGATTTGTTTGGGTGCAGGAATTAATGTTAACTGGGAACTGGGAACCCCTCCGAGAAAGGCAGATTCCCTGCATCAAAAGAGATCGCAACCAAGCTGGGGCGCGAACAACAAAAGAAATACCTTTTCGTGGAAGCCCTTGAAAATCCACCAGCGAATGTTGGAATCAAGTGTAACAAACAAATGTCGTCATCTCGTCCCTGCATTTCGGCCAGGCGTTCCTGGCTGCAAATGCACTATGACTTGTCACACAGCGTTCTTCAACAAATGCCTTCGGAAAGGAGGCATGAGGCACCCGTAACACAACCAAGAACGGACTGCCTAATTTTTCCGGGTTGCTAAAACGCATCCCGGAGGAGCTGTTGCAAATCACCGTTGCGACGCCGGCGTAGGCTGCTCAAGTGGCTTGACCTTTTGCCGGAAAACGCATTTGGTCAGAACGTGCGCACGTGAGTTTTGAACATGTGCGTTCCAAATGTGAAAGCGTACGTGTTCGAACACCAACAAACCAACCAATAAACTAGCAAACCGCCAGACCGATCAAACCAATGCACTGAGCGCGCGCGGTAGGATGAGAAACAGAATAACTGAGTGACCTCAAAGAGGTGATCATGCTACGACATGTTCGAAAGGATCCTTAAAGGAGATTGTAGCCTTGCTTGGCCTGGGTTAGTCAACACCCCTGAGCTGTCAACACGGGGTTCATCTCTTCTTGGACTCGTGTAGACTTGTTTTGAATAAATTGCAGCCAATTTTGGGGAGGAGAATCCCGTTCTGCAGAGGATCAGCGAAAAAGCACCTGTAGGACAAACACATGTCGCTATACTTGTAACACTCCTCAGTGCCAAGCAAGCTCTTTTCTTCTTTCAACTGCTGTATCTGAGGCGGACGGACTCGGTTTTTGTCTGTTGTCCTTTTCTGGCTTGTGAGGTGCCCCGAGAATGCCTTGAGACCTCGCAGGGCAACACCTGCAAAGTTGTTGCTTTCTTGGCATGTCCATCGTGCAGTCTGGTCTCTGAGGTCGGGCAGACGGGCAGATGGCGGGAGCTCTATCACAGCTAGTTAGTCCAGGTCCACTGGCAGCTTCAAAGTCTGGTCTGTCACAGCCGTCACTCTCACCACTAATCTTGTTTCATCCCGTGTTGCATGGTAACTATCTCGTTTCGGTCGTCAATTTTGGGGGGAATCATCTCATTTCACAGCAAAATGTCTGCCTTTTTCATGGTATTCTGACCCTATGAAGCTTTGAGGGAAACCTACAGCAAACCAGCCATTTCACCCCCTCCCCCCGCGCTTTCTTGTTGAGCCACATGCGAGTTGCGGGTTGAAGCCAGCGCCTCCTCTATGGGTTTGATCTCCCATGAGCGGGTCGGAGGAGTGTAGTCCTCCGAAGCAATGCGCTGGGTCACCGCACCCGTCCCCCCGATACGACAACAGAAGCAACCCGCCAAGGGAAGAGTACCAAATGGTCCAAGCCGTTGGGCAGATCAAACCCAGGTCCCTTTCCTAAACAATCCATGGGCAACCCCCCAAAAAAAACACCTCTGGAAACATTTCAGACATGGTCTCCCGGGGTGATACCAAAAAAACACCCCAAGCATGAATCGACACCAATTCCAACAGTCCGAAAATTGGCAGACCGCTTTTGGATGGTTTCCAGAGGAAGCTCGCCCTTCTTGTTGGAGTTCCCAATCTCGAGAAACGCCAACACCGATGGAAATTGGTGTGCTGAAACAAGCATCTGGCCAGCAGGTGGCTTTGCACCACGCCCTAGGCGACCAGTGGCATCATTCTGCCAAACACTCAGCAAGGCACTGGTAAACCTCCTTTGCACGGGTAAACCTCCTTTAGAATAGCTTCTGCTTAGGGACCAAAAGAAGGCTGGGACAGTGCTTGGCCGGATCTGGCCCTTGCTCCGTTGAATTCCAGGGCACGGAGTGCAAGTACAAAACTTATTGATTTCTGTCTCTCACTCGAACGCCACAAAACGAAGACCCGAAACTCACTCTAAGGCGATCCAAAAGGTGACGAGGCATAATGATAATCATACTATGAACATAGTATGTTATGTAGGATGACATTTGAAAGTATATGAATACCTTTAACTCTTGAAGTGGCAAAACTGGGTAACATCTGGACCAATTACTGTCATGTCCAAACAGGAAACAAAGGACCTTCCCAGCAAAGGAGCCGTATCATGGATGAGCTCGTCTGATCCTTTTCACACGCGAGCTCGTCACCTGCCCAGAAAAACACAAAGCAAGCACACATCGGGACTCCTGAAGGAGCCTTTCCGCAGGGATCACGGAATGTCCTCTTCAAAGCATACAACTGATTCCGCCGCGCTGTTCAAAATTGAGGGTCCAATCCTAATCCTGAATCCCTAGAAAGAAACAAGAAACAAAGAGGACCCGCTACATAACCCCAGGGAAGGATCTAGGATTGCCTTGAACAGCCCAGCCTAGGGTTCAAGCCCCATGGAAAAGCTGTGGTTGACCGTTTTGGATGCAACTCTCAATCACCTCAGATGCCCAGCATCCTTTTTTGGTTGGTTGAGTTTAAAGGGGAACCCTTCCCAAAAACCCAGGAAAGAAAAACGGGCGCCACTGGGCAACTGGGTCACTAACCCCCAGGAATTTTACAGGTGGAGTCCCGAAAAAGTGAGTTGCAGATTGCCTCAGGTTGCCACTTTGCGAAAATCCCAACTTAAACCCCCCGTCCTTGGATACGACTCGGGTCGGGATCGTGCACGGCAGGTCCTGCACCCGACTTGTCAGACCCGTCCAGCCGGAAAAGGGGTCTTGGGCCTCATTGGATAGCATGAGCTTCCGGCTTACGGTTGGCCTTGCGTTGTGGATAACTTGGGAGTCCTGAGTATGTCAACTTTGCATTGTCATTGTGTGGCCCCTTGCAATTGTGGACTGAACTCCGCATGGGTTGAGGGTTGAGTACCAGCCCTACAAGCCGCAAGAGCGCCAAAGTATTGAGCAAGACCCTCTTGACGGGTGTTCCACACACAACTAGTCAAAGTTGCTTCGTACAAATGGACTGTGTCATGTTCGTTAAATGAACTGTGCCATGACACAAGCTTGACGCCTCGGTCCCTTGGTTGCGCGTGAGCCCTGAATGCCTGACTCGGACACCTGCAGACAACATGCGAAAACAGGGCGTGGGCACCTTTTCTTTCCCGCCTCAATCAGGGAAAAGTGGGTGACTCTACCCAGACCCCCTGGCTTTCAATCAAGAATGTGGGTCAGCCCCTCGTCACCTCAGCGGGCTGCCGGCCTCGTCCTCCAGTAGTGTTTCCATGCTGCCCACTGCTTTCAAGCGGCTGAGACGGCTACGGCTACGAAGCTGACCGCCATAAACCAACCGATAGGAGTCAGAGTTTATCGTTGACCCCATATAAATCAACCAGTTTATTCATGGGTGGGTGTCCAACTGGGTTTAGTGCTTGGAATCAGACCCCTTTTGAAGGGGCCAAAAACCACCCCCCATTAATAAACAGGTTGGCTAACAACAGGGTCAACGTTACCCAGGTGTAGAAGGGCGAAAGCCAACCCTGGCATAGGGCGAACGCCAAACTTCAGTTACCGCTTGTTTCTTGTGGCTCACCCGAGCGACCCAGGATCTGATGCATCTCTGCGAGTCCAAAGTTGGCCAAGCCCACCATAGAAAGCTTTCCCATGTCTCACTGCTGTGGATGGACGAAATCCATCAACCGCACCACTAGGAAACCCAGGGGTTCCATTGCTTATTGGTATTTACAGGCAAATCGAATCATTCCAAGGTTTCTTAGGTGGTGCGGTTTATGGATTTCGTCCATGTCCCACTATGGCTGGGCAGTGAGAGGGAGCTGTGGATGGTTCCATTTGGACTGGATCCTCACAAAAAGCCCTTACTGTGGTATGCTGGTAGATTTCTTTCATAAGGGTGTGTTTTTTTGACGGGGGCCACACACTAGTGGTTTTCCTGTTGGTTGTCCTTTCATTTCAAACCTGCCATCAAAATCATCCAAAAGCGACTTTCCTTCAAAGCACAAAAAACAAGGTACCACCAGAAAACAATAAGCTCAGGTGATATCCCCAACAGCATGTGAAACCCTCCTGCAACCCTGGTTGAACCCTGGTGGAACCCTGGTGGAACCCTCGTGGAACCTTACCTCACGGCCGCCCCGGACCACGCCGGAGCCTATCTGGGCTGAGACCCCAAAGCTTCCAGCTGTTGGGGAAAAACAAACAAAAAAAACAGGCCAAAAGCGACTTTACTTCAAACCACCAAAAAATGTACCACCAGAAAACAAAACCAAACGAAAACAACAGGCCAATACTACTGTGGCTATGGACGCCCTCGCTTCCCTCGCTTCACTCCGGGCGTGCGGGCTCACCGCGCTGCGCTCCAGACGCTGCAGCATTTCCACCCGCTGGGCCGCGGCGCCTTTGGACCGATCGATCGAACCCCCGAAACATTGCACCCGCGGAACCCCAAAATGGACGGAAACCCTTGGAGTGCCACCTGGACATTTTCTCCTCTTGGTTTCCAGCTAGGGTCACCTCACAGGTTTGCCACCTGGACATTTTCTCCTCTTGGTTTCCAGCTAGCCTCAAAGGTTTACCTACGATAGGGGAGTGGAATATGATTCAAGCCAAGAACTGCGGCTGGCGCATACCTGCGACTGGTGCGTACGCTCAGAGAGCCCTTGGACTTGGTGGAACGTGTCCAGGCAAGGCTTGGCCATGGCACAACTAGGGCCACAGGTTGGGCTCCGAGAGAAGTGCCGTGTCTATGAAAACAGGCACCCAAACAAAAGCAAGTCATCAAGCATGATTGTGAGGAAATTACAAACATAAATAACTCGAAATTCACCGTATGGCAATTTACCTGTGTAAATGTACATCTTGTAAGTCATCGTAGTTTGCGCACTTGCACACATTGGAGATTACGGGCACTCGTCATGAATCCGACGTTGCCACACCCCCGTGAAGGCTGATTGCATGGGTGTCCTTGGCCATGCAACGTTGCGGAATGTGTTGGACCCAAACAACGCCTGAGTTTGTGTGTTCCCTTACCGACACCCTATGCTCAGACTTCCCCAGATGTGCCATGCTTAAGCAACAATTCGCTTGCTTGGGGTTGGGCATAAGTGTGGCATACCGGGCTTGGAGTTTGATGGGCTGGATAGAACCCTAAGCCCTTTGTCCTTAGTTGGACAGTCATGGACCCGGGATTCTAGACAATCATGGACAGGGCCAACGGAACCATGGCCGCGATCAACATGAGTTTTGACCATGGCACGCATATATATATATATATACATATATACATATTTGTATGTATCCCATATGCATGAACATGCGACCCTGTGAGAGCTACTTTCCTAAAAGTGAGCCATGCTTGGTAGAGTACAGGAGAGGTCCTTACATGTTCGCCTGATTGGATAAATGGGAGATAAAGAAAGGAAGAAACCAAGAATGAAAGAAAGAAAGACGGAACACAAGAAAGCAAGAAAAAACAGAGCGAACCAAATAGCAAAGAACACAATACAAAGAACGAACACAATCAATAAATAAATAACGACAATGAATCGTGTTTGGCGTAAGCAAGATATGCCGAAAGAAAACAAGAAAGAAAGCAAGACAGAAATAAACAAAGAAAGAAAGAAAGAAAGAACCAATAACATACAGACATATACAAATAGATACAAAAAAGACAGAAGAACTGGCTGAATCAACATCAGACATAGCTATTCAACAAATAACTAACATAAACATAACGAAGACCATCAAACAAGAAATAACGCAACAATGAAAGACAAACATACACATAATGACAATCAATAAATCACAAATACACAAAAACACCACACATACTAGAAAAACACAATTAACCTCAATACAGCAACAAACAAGTAATAAACAAGCACAGCAAATACAGATAAACATAGAAACATGATGTTTGTGTTGAGGAGTCAAGAATGCGCAGCACTTTGGCAAGGTCGATAGATAGATGGATAGGCGAACCGAGAAAGAGAGATAGATATATGCGAAGAAAGAACAAGGATAAATAAATACATAAATCAACAAAGAAAGAAAGAAATAAATAAAGACACATAGACAGAGATATTTAGATAGAGAGATAGGGAGATAGAGAGATAGATAGATAGATAGATAGATAGATAGATAGATAGATAGATACATAGATAGATAGATAGATAGGATTAGACTAGATTAGATTAGATTACATTAGACTAGATCAGATTAGATTAGAAAGATAGATGAGGTAGATAGATAGATAGATAGATAGATAGATAGATAGATAGATAGATAGATAGATAGATAGACAAATATACAGATAGACAGATAGACAGATAGACAGATAGACAGATAGACAGACAAATAGATAGATAGATAGACAGATAGATAGACAGATAGATTGATAGACAGATAGATAGATAGACAGATAGATAGATAGACAGATAGATGGATAGATAGACATATAGATACATACATAGATAGGTAGGTAGGTAGGCAGATAGGTAGGCAGGTAGGTAGTTGGAAGAGATGTCGATATGAACAAACACATAATCAAAGAACACATACATACATAACACAGGAAAACACAAGAAAGCAACACATAATAAAATAAATGAAGGACGGAAGGACGGAAGGAAGGAAGTAAGGAATCAAGATAAGAAAGAACACACAACATAAACAAACACAACAATGAAAATAAAGAAGCAAGGACGAACACCAAGAACATCCAAGAAGGACATAAAGAGAAACACAATTATGCTATTTGTATATCTTAGAACTTCCGACCACGGGCTTCGCCGGCTTTATGTTTGTTATAACATACATACAGACAACGATAAAGAGTAAAGCAGAACAACAACTGAACGAGAAATGAAAGCCACGAAACAAAGTCACGCAGCAACAACGAGAAGGCGGCACAGCAAAACGTAACAAAACAGCGAGGAGGCAACAACACCAGAATGCAACAACAACAAACAAACTACAAACCACCAAGAAAAAAAACACTCTAAAAGCGTAAAAGGCAATGGTTTGCTGTTAAGAGGGCTCAGATTTCATGTTTTTTGCTGCGCAGTTGGCGGTCCTCAAAACATGTCCTTCAGTGGGTCCCACATGTGTGTCATGTCAAGCAGGTTGGGCCAAACCAAGTAACAGCATGGCCAAACCATGGTGGTCTCCATTGAACATGTCCCAGAGTCCGACTCGCTTGATACACAAGCAACTCCATAACTATCCGCTCAGTATGCACCTCATGTCCTCCCCAACCGACGTCCATAAGGGATTTATCATCAGGGCCGCGCAAATCATAACCCCTCTCGAATAGGTAACAGTGCATGGGATGTTCTCCACATGGGGAGGGTAAACCCTGCACATTTTGGGCCTATAGCTCAACAAGGGCCACTCCCGTGTCTTCATGATAAGGCGCTTGGCGTGTTTTTCGCGCTGGCAGCCAGCACATCACTTCCGATCGAGTGGATTGGCCAACTAAAAGCAACCAAACTTGTTGGTTGTCACACATGGTTTTCGCGAAAAAGTACAACTGCGTCCTCCAGTACATAGAGAGGTTAGAATGAGGGTACCGACTTTTTTTTCTGTAGTCTATTTCAGACAAACTCCAGGAACCTTAGAAGTGGGAATATCACAACTTTTGCCCACTTGATGGAAATCACAAACAGAACCCTTGAAAGACTACCTCAGCTGTTGCCCTGCATCCAACAAACAAATATTTAACTCTGGCCCATGATGTGCAGAAACACCATAAGCACAACAAACTACCTGCAACATACTCCAACAAATATATATATATATACATATATGTATATTATTGAATTCTGGTCCATAAGGTGCAGAACCACCTTAAACACAAGAGCCATGTTTGCAGAAACGGACCTGGGGAAGCCTCGGCGTCCCCGCTGGTGGGCGAGCGGGTCGCTGCCGAGACAGGGAGCCCTCGCCGCGAGGGCGCACATCGCTCCAAGGAGTTGATATGGCTGTCGACTTGTCTGAGGAAACCGCTGTTTGGTTGGTTTTACAGGAAAACCAAAGGGTCCTTATAAACCATCCAACTGGTGGTGTTCTTTAAGGGAACCTCTGGGTTCATTCCATCATTCCCTGCTCAGCTCCAGCAGAAAAAGGGTCTCCACAATCAACATCATGCCCTATTTTGTGGACCGGGGAGGGTGTTTTTTTTGGGGCAGCCCTTTGCAATCATCGCCGGTTCGTGGCGAAGGCAGACAATGTCTCGACCCTTTGCCCAATTTCCAGCCACGGTTTTTATTATGTCAGGGTCGTACAAAGTGCATCCGTGACATGGGCGTGTTCGGGTTCATTTGAAGCAAGAAGGGAATTCGTCAAAGGATCCAAGTACCTCCTAGTGGTGGAGTGGGGGTCATAAAGGGCGCAAGGTACCTCACTAGAACCTATATGAGTGTGTTTTTTTTCGGGTCCCCAGACCCCCCCAAAACGGTTGTGTCCAACAATGGTTCATAAGGGGTCATTCCATGTCACATTCCCTACCTATCGCACCAGCCAGTGTTGGAGGATTCCTTTAACAAATGGGGCGGGGTTATGAGACCCCCAACATAAATGTTGTCCTTGTGGTTTCCCCTTTAACACCACACCAGTTGGATGGTTTAGGGAATTCCTTGCCCCACCGCAAGTTTCAGGACTTCACCCTCGATCCATTGAAGCAAACCAATCCGAAGGTGACCTTTGGGCTCCATTGGACGTTCCTTGGCTCCGAGCCAAAGGTCCCGTCACCTTAGGTTGAATGGAAAAGCCATCGGTTTCCACTAGGGTGGAACGATTTCTTTATCTCGCGCCCTCCTAACCTTGCTGTTCAACCCTTCCCTTTTTCATGGTTTGCGCTCTCTAAACCCGTTCTTTTTTCAACCCTTCCCTTGTTGTCCACCCTTCACCAGTTTTATTTCACCCTCCCCAAAGGTGCAAGGGGCATCCGGCCACCGACCCGACAGGGCAGGGGCATGGCCCAACGGCCCCGGGGCAGTCGTTTTGCCAGCCTCGAGGTGCGATCGCCTGGCCGTGAGCCACTGCTTTGCCAATTTGGGAAATCCGCATTGGGAAACACACCTTGCGCTCAGGTCAGTTGGGCAAGAAGCTTGGGACTCAAACAACTAGTCGGCAAGCAAACTTGGGATTAAACAGTTTGTTCAAAGGCAGTTCTTGATTAAAGGACAGTATGGAACCAAACATGTTGCTTAACGCTCGGTAGATAAGCAAGCTTTGTTCCAAAGAAACTTGATAAGCATGTGTTGTGTCACAGGGTAGCAGGGAGACAGACGGGCCTCGAAGGATCATTGGGAAACAACCATTGACCATGTGTTTCTTAGGGAAACAGACATAACTTGAGCTAGTTGGGAAACTCAATTTCAAAAGTGGGTTTGGACATGTTTGTGTGTTCAACGCTTAGTAGAGAAACACGCATATTTCAAAGGCTAAGCACGTGTTTCAAAGGCTAGTAAAGAAACAGCCACGTTCTCACAGATCGAGCAAGCGAGGCAAGTGCACTAACAAGCTTCTTTTCTTGTGCCATGCAAGACAGCCTCTGAAACCCGCAAAAGCAAGGAAACAAACGGAAGCTCCCCCTATTACATTCATAGGCTGAAGGGGACTAGGGAAACAAAAAACAACAACAACAGATTTGTTGGAATACGATCAGTTATTCAAAAGAGTAGGTGACACACATTTCTTCAAGGATGGCAAGGAGACACACGCAGTTGTTCAAAAACATCACAGATTTCTGTAAGTCAAAACAAAATGCACAAAGCACAAGCTTACTGGGCAAAGAGCGCCCCTTCCAGAGCAAATGGTTACACATAATTCGGCGTCACGTCTGAAGCCCCATGCGATTTCTCGCTTTTTCCAGCTGCCCGGACCTCATTTGCTGCTTTGGCTGGTTGGTTGATTCCCAGAATATTGCAAGCAGCACAACCTGGCAAATGTTTCAGTTAGCTTTCCCCAACAGGTCAGTCAGAACAATCAGGGTTTACCCGCAGTAGGAATCCAGCTTGAGGTAACACTGTTCCACCAACTGAAGCGTTGATGACCATCCTAAGGCATGCAGTTGACATCGAGTTCAACTCGCACCTTGTCGTTATGTTGTTGTTTCTTTTCTGTCGGCACTATATGTTGAACTGTGTACATGTATGTATGTATGTATGTATGTATGTATGTATGTATGTATGTATGTATGTGTGTGTACGTACGTACGTACGTACGTACGCATGCATGCATGCATGCATGC